TAAACAGGGTCCATTGATAATTCGCTACACACTCAAAGGCAATCCGTTGTGGGCGTTTGGCAGTATGTGGCTATGAATTAGGCTAATTCAATTCTAAGCCCCATGAAACATCGATATGAGGTGTACGCCAGTAGTAATTGAGCGGGCATAATTTCCTAACAATCGGCTAAGATAGCCGAATAAGTTTTAGTGTCTTATTTGATGACAGAAAATTTGGTCCGATTGAGAGCAGAGTGCATTTGCATTTAACCAATCAGGTTGCTCCACCGATAACGTCATTTTGACGAAATGGGTTGTGCTGACTCACCCCTCGTCCTTGCCAGATGTAAACAAGTTGACGAAATTCTTGCTAAAGCATCATGGATATTGTTTGATTTTCTAAAACCGTCTAGTTCTACGTTGGTTTTAAAACATGTCTGATGAAGACAAATAATGTTAGCAGTATGACTAACATCCATGTGGTTTCCTTTAAGGACTTATTTAATTTTCTGACCCTACTTATTTTCACCTATCACTGTTGCAAAGTCTCTGGACCCTGATTAACCTTGTGAATATACTGACATGACTTGTATTTACGACTGCAGTGACGTGTAAAACTCACGATAATATAATACCCATTTATGTAGAGAACCATGGATTGGCACAAGCACATTTACGGATATGGTGTTTGTGGGTTCACCACAGTAACCCAATTACCCATAAATGCCTACATTTAAATACGCACTGAGCTAGTGCTTTCCTTGTATTTCGGCAAATTTAAGTGCCTGCCTTGTTCTACTTTGAAACTGAACACCGCAAAATATGCACATCGGGGTGGAAGTTGGGTACTGCCGGATGAATGTGAACTGTTCGACTTTCAAATAAACTTGCCACAACCCGAAAAGTCCCCTCCAGTGGACTTGTAAATGCTTTATGTTAGGACTGATTTACTAAGCAGAAGATTGACCTACGAATTCTGGCAACATTCGTTTCCAGCACTGTTGATGTGCATCACTAACGTGCGAAAATGTACACCATGGAATGCTTGCTCGAAAAAAAAATTGCAATTTCCCCTTATATTTAAGGCTTGTAATGTGATGCCTTAAAATTCATTATTTCTCAGGTAAGTGGAAACACACATGGTATTTGAAAAGCAGCGAAGAGTCTAGTTTCGTGAATTCATCACAACTTAATCAGTCAGCAGCAAATGACAGCAACTTGAAAACTCTAAGGGTTTGACTTGTAAACGAGGCCTGCACCACGACAATTTGTAAATTATACTGGACATTTAGGCACACCCGCCAGTTATTCACGACCGGCATCGGCTCCAGCTTGCGACAATGCAGGCTGCAGACGATGTTGGTCGCAGCTTTAAGCCGTAGAAGGAATAAGATGTGGACGTTTTTGACCAAAAACAGTGTTAACGCATGGCATAAATGTCTATTGCGAAAATGGAGGCCCATTTGCCATTAGCCCAGGACAAAGACAAACTGATCCGAAGCAGAGAAGGTCTATTTCGAGGGTTTCCATTGAGGCGAGGAAAGCGGAAAGTAGTTTAAATAGTACACGTTGCTAAAACACGCTTTTATGGGTACGTGTCCACTTAGTTTTAATAAAACATTGATCCCCACTGGCCTGGCGATGAACTTGTGCAATTGAAGGTGTTATGAAATCTGAATCGTGCCCTGCACACAAATCTCTCAGGCCGTCTGTCGCCCCCACGATTCGATTTTGTCCAGGGACCCAGTGACAAGTGCAACCAATAGTACGGTGTGATGCACATTTATTCGCATAAAAATGATCTTGCCACAAGTCATTACACTTCCTGACAAGTCCACAGTCATGGCCGACCAAGCCTTTCGACCTCCGTGTAAACTTTGGTGGACTTAATGTGACACCAAGGCTGAACGCTCGCTCTGTGTGTCAGCCGCCCCGTCTCCACGCGATTTCAAAAATTGGCCACATGCCAAGAGCCCCAACCGTGGTGTGATTCACGAACGCTGGTGTAAAGATTAAATTACACCTGACTTCGTGTCCTGTTCGTAGAGAACCGTTACTATAGCCCGTGAGGGGAATTAGAGAAACGTCTTGAAGTTCACTTGGTATCATGCTTTAAATCCCAATGAAACTTTTTTTGGCCGTCGAAATTTTACAGCCGCAAGTAGAGAACCAGCATTTTTGTGCTATGCCCACAAAGTTCTGAGTCAGGAGACCCGAATCAGTTGACCAACACAGTCATTGTCGACGTGCTAATTTGTGTGTGGTAAATTAAAAGCCTCTGAATGTCTAAAAAAGACTTTCTAAGGCTCTTCAACGTGTATCACAAAACTGTTTCAGCAAAACTCTTCGAGCCAAGGTCTTGGCTCCACTAAGCCAAACTGCGAGATTACCTGCATCACTGGCAATCGGGACGTGGGGCAACCTCACTTGGGCGGCATGCGTGGCATTAATTCCCACATCTCAAGTTTGATTTACCCCTCGTTTCCATACTGCAACTCCTGTCTCCACAATTCTCTCATGAATAACTGACCGAGCAAGGTTTGGTGAGTTTTCCTCTTAACCTTGGCGAATTCCTGGCTCTTCATAATTTACATCTTTAATGGCTCATATTCATAACCAGCGTCTAAGAGAAGTCAATCTGTCGAAACATAAAAGCTACCACATGGCCATTTTAATTTCAACCCCAGATGGCACGTAAGAACTTGAACACACGCTCACGCCCACGCATTCTCCAACCTCTCACGAAACCGGAAGTGACTCATCCGCACCCCCCCTCGCGGTCCTTTTGGCACCGACCGGCTCCCACGATAAAAAAGAAAGCCTAATGACTATGCTGGCAAATAATTTAGAGACTACAGGTATTTAAATGCTTTGGCGTTTGCATAAGCCATTCAAATCATGCTAAACTGTCCTGCAGAGTAAAACACGTCTAATAAACGTTGTTTAAATCTTGTGCATGAAGGCCAAAATTAAAATACTGTGTCATTGAACCCGTGGGGGCAGGGGGTTGGCTGCTTGTACCTGGCTGTGGTCCTACAGCACGCCGTAGCCAAAATTCGTCACGACCCCATTAATGCACATCTGCGCAACCACTGTGATAGATGACGCACTGCCGTGAGCGCCAGGTCACGTTAATAAAGCCCGTGTGATATCAACCACTGCTCAGGGTGAGTGTGACACGACCTCAGGAATTAGTCGAAGTAGGTCGTGCACTGACTACTGATTTACGGTGTAAACTTCAGTGCTACACTGATCGTAGCATTCGTGCCTTTAAAAATACACATTTTAGCATTTGGTTTAACTGGTCAAATTTCCCAACGCTTTTAGGGGCAGTTAACAGTAGAAAAAGCTGATCTTCGGTAAGAAAACACATTGGAAGAAATAGTTGAGATTCGCTGCATAACGGATAAATAGTAACTGTGTTGAGAGGCGATGAATGAAAGGCAATTTTTGCTGCTGCCCAAGTTACGCTCCTTGTCTGGTTATTGACTCCTTTGGCCTCTGATCACACTCCTCTGATGTGGCGTAAATCAGCACCGTTTGGCACTCACTGTCACTCACCAGCCAGTCTGGGGACACCATGGACAATTGTTCGGAAAATGGACAATCCCGTCCACTAAAATCTGAGAGGGTCGTCTATTATGCCTCAGCGATTCTGGGTGAGGAGGTTCACCTGTACTAATTCCCTTGACAGGCGTCCCTGTGCTGACAGCTGAACCCATAATTGACTAGACGCAAAGATAGCGATGACATCAAACGATGACTACGCATGTTGGCTGTAACATGGAGCACTAAGGGAAAATAAAGGCAATTTTGAGTGCGTTTTCGCCTTTTTGTGGTGATTACATTGACGATGGCGCAGCAGACAAACGCGGCCAGGTTCCAACAAGTTAAATTGTAGTCAATAGTGGCTTTTGGCAACATGGACAAAGACTTTTCACGGGTGTTTTGTGATTTCAAAATGAAGGATCGTCATTTTGCTTGATCACTCATTCAGAATAAGTTATAACAGGTAGACATTGTGCGTCCCATTAACATTTTGATACACGCAGTAACAGTCAACCAAGCAGAACTGAAATTGACACTAGCAAATAGCTCTTGTGTAGGTTGTTATGGCAGGAACAATTTCTCGAGGGCCCACTTGGTGCAGTGCACTTTACCACATGCTGGGCATTTTCGACATTGAACAAGTGGGCCATTCTGCATGATGCCCATGTGCATTTCACAACAAATGGCATACGATAGCATGTGGTTCTACATTTATTATACCACTAGTTAAACACTACATTCTCATTGGTTAATTATGATCACCTCGTAGCTCTCATGTTAAGTGAGAAAGCCAACGTAAAACGGGTGTGTGTGCTAGAAATATATTTTAAGCCAAGAAGTGGTATCACAAACCCACTGGACACTGTACGACGGACTATTTCCCACCTTAAACTTGACGCAGACCTCCAATTAGAAATTCAAGGAATTTCGACACTTTGCAATGTTTTATTCATCGCCTACCACCGAATGCGATTTGCCGTCATTAAATTTGACAAAAAAATTGTTACGCAATAACTCACAATCACTGCAGCTAATTTTTTACGAATCAAAACGCTGGTAGGGACATTGCACCAACAGATTACTTTTACAGGTAAGCTTACTTTTTATTTCGATGATAGAAAAGAACTGAGCGGAATGTAAGTCGCTTCACTAATCATTCGAATGGTGCGTTCTGATTTAATTTCGTAACCTTTTTGAGGCTTCTCTTGTTATTCAGGTTCGGTGACGCACCAAGTTTCTGCAGCGTGCAACGTGAAGACAGCCTTAGTTTCAAGGACGCGTAAATATCGATGGTGTGAATTTGCACGCACGTTGTAGTGCGCACGTGCTGCTACCATGCCATTCGACGGCTCTTTAGGTTTTACGCGATCTTATTGGTTGGCTCACAGGACGTTCAAGCGAGTCGTGTTATAAATAGAGGCCCTTGCACCAGCCCCACCATTATTCCCAAAGCCACCTTGAGAGTTCAAACAATGCAAACTGCCGTACTGTCATACATCCTTGGGTTACTGCTCTGCTTAACTGTCGCCACTGCACGAAGTACGTTGATTTGTGTTATCTTGTTTTCATTTCCAATACCGATATACTCGATATGAGTGCTGAATTTTACCTCCCTCTAGGAAGCCTCTATGTCCCAAATCTCAAATTTTCGAAGCCTTGTGAAAACAATAAGATCGATGAAGGTAAGCAAATTCTATCATGTCTGGAATTTGCACACGAAAAGGCCTTGTACACTCTAGGATTCTTGTTATTTTAGCTACTGGCAATTTCAAATGCATGGTTACAACTGGAGCGGAGTGCTTTAAGCTCTGCCAGGCTTATGGCTGCTACGAATGGTCCTTTACGTCCTTTATGCCAAGCACGAGTACTCGTATCCACCACCACTACCGATGTCGGTGTGCCCAGAACATATGTCTCTATAATTACGTCCGAGCTAAAGATCGCGATTACACGTGAGGCGTTGGTGCGGATTCCCCCGACAAAGCAGTTCAACCCCTGCTCCGTTCTACCGCTGCTATGGTGTAGTTCAGGACGTGGCACCACCGCTGACCGGCCGACACGCGCGTGCGGTTTTCGCGCGCACCTGGGTCAGGTCACCACGACAAAAGTCAAAAACCAAAGACTGCCGGCAAACCCCCACAGCACCAGCCTTGTATGTGTATGTACGCGACTACGTATTTATTAAAATAAAAGTGCAGATTTATCATCCCTTTTTTTTCTTTTTGTGCTGAAAAAGAGGGGCCTTGTAGACACTAGCTGCCATGTGCAGATCCCACATCAAATGTGGTCAAATTAATAGCGGTTAGGGAGGAATCTTGTGAGACATTACAAGACTCTTCGGCAACCTAACTACATATTTAGGCAACCCACGAGCTCTCGCTGGTGCAGAATCTGACCTTCGCCAATTGCACCCATACAGGTTTACTGCTATGGCCTTGAGATGCCTACTTTTACGCCGAACTAGTCACGCAGATGCTCTGTATTTTGGCTTTACGATTTCCACACGGTTATAATTACACTTTTTATTGAGACCGGCGTCGAAATGTTGCCCTGCATTGTTAGTTCTGATTCGTATGATAATGTAGGTCATTATTTGTGAAAGAATAACGCTGTTGGCAGATCTTGGGTGCGTTTCCGGATAGATATGGGCCATCGCACTTTACTTAAATTGCCTTGGTTCCTGAGTAAGCATTGAGACAATATGAAGGTTGCTTACACTTCATACTTGGATGTGTAATCAATTCGGTGAAGGAGGCATATTTGGGTGCAGCCACGAAATTCTACCAATGCGCGATTTGAAATCTCTATTTCCGTCTGTTTAGGGGAGCTGACAAGTTAAAATGCCCAGAGCAATGGCAGTCGGGTCGAGAATCTGATCTGCGAGAGCAGCACCCTCATAAATATCTCTTGGTAAAATGATAGCTGTGGCGTAGAAATGGGAAGTTTCGACACGAAAGGTAGGCTTTTGAACGAAATCTCTAAACTAAACGCAGATTTTCATTTTCGCTTCAGAATATTGCTGCCCCAAAAGGTAAAACAGTGTTCAAAGCAAATGCAACACTGAAGTTTGAACCTCCTGAAGGTTGGAAAAGTTTCAGCGGTAACTCACCATCGGCATCACGTGGCACTTCTCAAGGACATGTAAACCACACTTCAGTCGACCAAAAGCCCAGACCCTCCTGAGTTCAACGTAAAAGTCGATCCGTATTGTTTAATTCATCTAGAAGATTGGAAGTAAGCATGTGTGCTTCGAGAATTTGTGTAGTGCTCTCTGAACCCGTCTCATAATCCAAATATGGAGCTGCTTCAAGTGCCACACCCCTTCCCACAGTGGTTTTAAAACCGGCACTTCAAATTTTTGTGCTTTCCTGCGGTATCCATGCTGAGGACAGATTCTAGCTTCAGTGGTTAATTCTGCCCCTTTCTCTAATTTGTATTCACTCTTGAATTAGTTATAAGTAACTGGTCAATATTATGCATTCTATTTATGCACGCATGACCGCAGTTATTTACGTACGCGTGCGTTGTCAACAGGTACACGCCTCGTTATTGATTGCACGTTATCTTACCCGGAAATCAGCTTAGTTGGGTGGACTTCCGTCGAATACAAGATAATTCTTGGGGCTGACAGGTTACGAGAGTAGCTAATATGGCGACCTTCCTACGTGCACCAGGTCTTTCGAAAATTCATATTCCCTAATTTAAATTGATTGGCGTCGACCATGATGGTATTGTCCTTGTCCTTACTAGTCATATCCTGAGAAGTCGTTGTATTTCACCAGTGCGGCCCCAATTCGTCTGTCGCCTACTTGCAAGTCAGTTAACCATAGCAAAGAGCGTCGCGAGGAATATCTGAGGTGTCCGTATTCGCTTCTTTTCTAATTGTTTGATGTTTACGAGGTTGGTTCGAGTTTCATTAATTGAACTGTATTTTACTTGGCTACGCTACGACGCGCACAAACTGCTTGGTAAAAAAACAAGGAAATATGTCCAGACATGCATACATTAGAACACGATTGTCTGTCACCACCCCGCATGCTGGCTTTCGGATTAGCAATCTTGCGTATGTAGCAGTCTCCATTAATGAAGACAATGCAGTTTCTCACCGCCGTCGCTAATTAATCAAGGCTTTTCAGGATTGTAGGACGCCGTCCCTTTCGCTAATCAAGGGGAACAAAAGTGATGTGGGGATCGGCAACGCTGCCCATTGTGCAAATTCGTTTTCAAACGGAGGGATTATGAGTTTGGTTGACATCGAGTACTGGACTAAGTCTCAGAAATACCACAGCCGCATCAACGCCGATTACTTTTAGAAATAATTTCATTTCCATTCAGAGGTGCTGCGTTGTGTACTTCTCTCATCGTGGCCTCGAGATTCCTCATCGCCATGTAAGGATAGGCTAAGTCAATTTACCCCAGAAAAGGCCTTGAATCATGTTCAAGAAGCTGGCTGGAAGAGACAAGAAACTCATCCTAAAATTATTACAGTTGAAGTACTTAGAATCCGGTGAAGGATTTTTTAATCCGACCACGTCTGGTTCCAGGGCTGCTGTTGGTTGTCACAGAGTGGTCGGCGTTAACTATTTTCCAGTTTGTTAAATGACTAGGTCCCAATTATCAAAATGGTGACCGATTGCCTCCCATGCATTGGATGCACATTTTTGAGGCCTTTGCCTCCATAATTAGCAAAAATATGTGCACTTTTGAAGTTATCTTTCTTAAGTTCTGAGCCCCGTGATACTTCTTGGTCGCCAGTTTTGTTAGTTTTTTGATAGCAGCTTCTGTTTCTACATGGACCGTAGTAAACGGGGGATATTATCCTTTGGATACATAAATCTTTAGTGCAGGGAGATTTGTGTTTGAAGTCTTTTCGACGTTTCAAGTGAAACCAAAATTTCTTTAACTGGTGTCATGCGTTGAAATATTGGAGCATATTTTATTGAATAGCACTCACGATCTTAAGATTATCCTTAAAAGAAATTTTGAAAGATCAGGGCCCTTATCTACATTTGAAAAATCGTTGGCCGTGGCCTTCCCAAAGCCTTTAAACCAAATGTAATTCTTAAGTGCACAAGTAGGATTCAGCTGATTAAACGTGTGTAGGACGTCTGTCATCGGCGCTAACGTTTTTTAAGCCAAACTGTTTTTGTATTGAGAACCTAAAATTAGGGTTCCACGTTTTGGGGACCACAAAACGCCGTGGACTTGGAAGGCATTAACACAAGACCCACCAACGTATGCAAACGGAGTCACGAAAACTAAACAGCGTGTCCAATTCAGCGTGGCATGTCCAGGTGACACGCAAACTCATGGGCACAAAATTGTAAGCGTACCCTTAGATTTCATTTTCGTACCACCATCAATTAAAGTCTCAGGAAGGGGCGAAAAATTCTTGGCAAGCACTGGGTTTTCATCAGCTGATCTCAAGGTCAGAGCGATGGCCTACATCACCGGTTCAAGAAAGCCCAAATTTGTGTCTGCTGGGTTAGCGTCTGGGATGCAGCAAGGGTTTAAAATCCATCAAAATCTTGGGCCTAGTCTGATCCCGCGATTGGACTTCATTGGACTTGCGTATCACGACCCGTGGCTCACTTTAGCCACTGACCCATTGAGGCCAGCACATCAGCATCCAGCGCCGCACACACCTTTAAATGCAACTATTTAATGTAGACAATTACCTACTACGTGGCGAGTCGAAATTCCAGAGAACCCTGGAGTAATCCACAGTGAACACAAACAAACGTTTTAATTAAAAGCCGAATACTCAAAGAAACATGCAGTTTCAAGTATGGTCTCGGAGTTAGATGGGAAGCATACAAGCACTCATTAAGCAGTCCAGAAAAATCCGAACATCGAAAAAGAAGTAAGACCCAATAATCACTTGGCTTTACAGCTAAGATCAATGGGAAGGACAAATAACTATTGGCCCGGTATTGAGCGAATTAGGACTTTGGCGTGGGGTTTCATATTTTCCAGAGTACATTTTTTTGAAGTTGAGCTTGAAGGTGCCTTGGTGCTAAGGAAAAAGGCCTGTAAACACCTGAGCTGGAATATCAACGACAAATGAAACACAGGCACAATGCGAACATGATCTCACTTTCCAGAATTTTTTCCTCTTGAAAAAAAGGCGTCATTACGTAGGATGGTTTGGCACAAGGTTACTGGTGTTAGGCTCACAGCGAATTACATCAGACTTGAGAGAGAGCGACGTGAGCACGTTTGACCTTGGTTCGCTGCAAAGACGCTAGCATTGACCCCGTGGAAGGAAGTGGCCATTGAATTGCGCGCCACTCGAGTCCTCGAGGAGCACCAGCTTGGCTTTCACCTTCACATTAGGAAGAAGGACTTATCTCCCCCTCCCGCACCTATGGGGTGGGCGTAAATTCTCCTGATTGGTTAACACGCCGGGCGCACCAAAAGAGCCGTGACATTTAAATTCCCTCTCGTTGTTTGACTCTCACATACGCAATTACATTTCAGGAGAATGGTCGCAGTCCAACTGCTTCTCATCGTCACTTTCCTCCATCCAACAATAGCCCTCACATTCCCTCGGAGACGTAAGTGTGTCTACAAATGTTTGATTCAAGTTTTAATGAGCCGGTAGGTACCCACACGAATGGATTTGTGAGCGCCTTCACGAGTTCCATTCCGTGCCCCCACGCACTCAAGTGATCACTCACGAATCAGACTGTGGTATTTGGGGCAATGTTCCCCAGTAAACGTTGGCAGCTTTGATGGAACCCTTTCTAATGCAAATCACTTATAGCATCTGTCTAGCCAATCCTTTTTCTTAAGTAAAAACATTTATGGCTAGATGTTTAAAGCAATTTTAGGAAATGCCACCCTCCCCCCAACTGTGACCACATGAGTGTCGTGCGGTGTAAACATACCTTTTGACTTGAAGTCAGTGTCTCCTAAGACTAAGAAATGCTCCACTGTAACTAATTCATCATGTTTAATCAAAATGTAGTGTCAAGAAACAATTCAACCATAAGTAAGCGCCTAAACAATATACCCGACATGTAAATTGTTCTTTGTTGTGTCGAGTTCAAAATTGCTTCATTCTTTTTTTTTCAGAAAGCCTTTACGTTCAGGGACTTAAATTTTCGAGGCCTTGTGAAAACAACGTATATGATGAGGGTAAGTAACTGGTCATTTATTTTCAAACGGGTTTACCACGTATTTAACTACCAATTTATGCTGATGTAGCTAGTGGTCTGCAGACCTTTCACAAATGTTTACCGACAAAATGACAAAACCATGCAGTAATGCATCGTACTTTGATGAATATTGTGATATCAGATGTTTTCAGGTAGTTACTAAGGCATCGGTTCATCCAGGAACCATCACCGATTCCTGTTTACTCGTCATTTGTGACTACTGATGCAACCCACCCCCCCACGAACCTTTTTACTAACCGCCAGAGCCGGCTGTCAAGACAGAGGTCTAATTCGGAGAAGGTCTTGGTTGTAGTAAATTTTCTTTGCTTAACCGTCTAAGCAATGGATAGTGCATCAACATGCAGCGCAAGACAAAACTGTGGACGCTATATGAGAGCACACGTATACGACAGGCTTTATTTCCTTTCTTCAGTTGAATCCAGGGTGGCGTCATCTCACTTGAGTGGGTGTTTTACCGGAAAGCATGTAATTCACGTGTCACGTCTATTCAGTAAAGACATAATCTTGCTTAATTGCAACCCACTTCCGTTTTACTTCGATGACCTTAAGTTTATTCTGCGGTACAGTGAATAATATTGGCAATGAGTAAGGATATCTAAGCATCCAAAACACAAAACACAAAAAATGATTTTACCCGCTACACTGAATCTTAAGTTCGTGGTCTTGCAGGAAAACAAAACACCACCCGTTTAGTATTACCAGGAAGGGGGAATCAGTAACTTAGCTTAAAAATTTGATATCTAAGTTAATCCCGTTAAATGAGATTACGACTTCTGTCGTCTGCTGGAATGCAACTATCATGGGTGACTGGCTGTTAAAAAACTGCAATTTTGCCAATTTAGTTGACAAAATGGACTTCATTACACAAATATACATAGACGTAAATTAACTGCAGCTTGACATGGTGTCGTCAATTCTAAATATGCTAAAAACACTGCGTGTCCATCCAAAAATAACTGAACAAATACTGTACAGTATTTAAGTCTTGGGGAATGTTTGATCACAATTCCTGCATTGTTCATCTTCAGCTGTATTAGGAATTCTGCAAAATTATAACGTGCACCTATACAGTAGAGACAATTTAATACTTTAAACAAAATAGTAATTAGATGTGGATCGGTTAGCATGAAAGATAATGGCTTATGACACACTCAGCATGTGCCAAAGACTGCCACCACGAAAGCAGGGACCTGAGGAATTAGAAATAATTGGTTGTCTTCCTATATTCGTAATGGGTTTATAATCGGAAACTGTTCTGGATGGGGGAGATTTGTAAAGCTCACTGCCTTAATTATTTTAAAAAAAACTTTTAAGGAGAAGTTAAACCAAAACGCCAACAACATCAGTTAAATTAATATTTTATTTGTTGGCACTGCCAGCAACAGGAAGGCATAAGGACAGTTCACTCGAACCATTTGACTGACGGTTATGACGTAACCAAATGACTGCACGTCGTAAGTACTGTCTTTCGTTAGCTTTGATTTCCTGCTTAAATGAAAATCTTGATTTTTCTTCCTTAGCTACCGGAAACTTCAAGTGCATGGTAACTACGGGAGCGGAATGCTTCAAACTCTGCCAACAACACGACTGCTTCGAATGGTCCTTTTCATCCTTCATGGCAAGCACTGACACCCAACCGCGCCTCCATTACCGCTGCAGATGCATCCAAGATATCTGCCTCTACAACTATGTTCGAGCAAGAGATCGAGATTATGCTTGAAAATAAATGACTTTTAACCTTTTATGAAAGCTGGTTCCCCTCCTCATTCCTTCCTTCGTTCTCTTCTTTTACATTTTGTAATCAAAGGTGGAGCGAACACTCAGCAAGAAGCAAACTAACGGCGGTCTCTGAGAACCACAAAGCAATTTTGGTAAGCTCCGCCAGTGCTATCAGCAAAACGTTGTCACCAAAGACGGATGTGAAAAGTCTGTTTCAGCATGACCTTGGAGGAAATACAGTGTCATGGATTCAGGTGAACTTTTTTGTACTGACTTTTGGTATAGGGTGTGAAAGTAGCGAATGCTGCGACATAAGATTCTGCGAGGCTACTTACTAAAACACCCAAGAAATGTGTGTTCAGCAAGAAGCTGATTTATCATCGCCCACGCATACAGCCCACAGGCCATAGTTTTCGAGCTGGTCATAGAACAACAACATTATGCGCCTCTTTTTGTTAACTGCCTCTGTTCAAAGAAATCTGTTAATTTTGGAGAAGACTAGAAGTGTAGACTTCTCTTCAGACTTGGAAAAAATACGTTGTCACTCCTTTAGGACAGTCCGGATCTATTAATCTCCACTACATATACACACAGAATGTTTGTTTATCACGAGGAAAAGCTTTTAATGTTTACGCATTGGAGATATTCTAGAATGATAAGTAGCAGATGATAACTTTTCAGATGTTTTGGATATATTTTCCGTTGATCATCACACCCGATAAAGTTTTACGAACTCTGCCTATTGATATCAGATTGGCGAGTGTTTTCGTGAGAGGAGGCAGGTCGGACTCCTTCTAGCCAAGCTGTCACATATTGCCACTAGCTAGTCCATTTGTGACTTGGTCCTGCACATGTGCGGAATTGCTTTTTGCTAATTTGAGTCACAATCAGACCTCTGTTAATCACACCAAAATAGAACGGGGGCATCTTAACCAGACTTCCCATGTTTTCCGAATCCAGACGTATTCTGCAAAATCATTTGTGACGCAAGTTGGGCTGTGTTTGGTCTCTCCCCCACAAAGTCAATTAGAAGAAGCTGTTTACCATGAAGAAAAAATTAACGGTATTCCAATTGGGTGGATTTAGAAGGCCAAGCGGTCAAAGGAAATTTAGCTGGTTGGGTTCACTTCACGCGCAGTTATTACGTAAGTCGGTTGCAAAAAGTGATGGCATAGCAGTTCCTTTTTCTCGAAAATTTCACTGACGTCTTAGAGGGAAGCAGAAGAAAAGAGAGAGGGCGGAGGAAAACGCACCCACTAAGACCTACTACAGACTCGCCAGCTGCGCACGCATCCTATGACATCCCAGCTAATCTTTTGTACACGAGAACTTCCCAGTATCACAATTTTTTGACGTGTTTGCGAACTGGTCATGACCCAGTCCCAGATATCGGAGACATGAGGAGGTGTGATATCAGTCTAAATCTCTGTCTCTGTTGAATCATGAAATTTGGCACAAAGTGGATGTTTTTGGCAGAAAGGTATTGCAACATTGCCCTAGAAAAAATGACCTTTAAAACCACGCCGATGACAGATGTTCGTTCATATGATAAAGTTGTGCATAAGGTGATTCATGAGGATAAACAATGTCGTGTTATTTCATTATCTTAACTCTCAATTTCAACTTGAATCATTTCGAATTCAGGGGCTCTGTGACGGCAAATCGTTGAAGTTTAATCGACGCAGGCCAATTGCTCTCTGTGGTTCAGGTGCTTTGTCTATCTCTGGATTTTATATTTCGCCTGATCATAGTTTACTCTAGTAATAACACGGAGATTCACGAATGTGGTGTCCATTATGGGTGAAGTACGAGGATAACGTAGTCGCTTAAAGTAGAAGTATTGCCACTTTAAGCAGCACTGTAACAAAAACGGGTAGATTATGCACATACATTGCGTTACAGCATGAACTTTATCTGCAGTGGCCACTTCTTTGCACCACTGCTAGACCATTCAAGAATGATGTTGACTTCGGAGTATTAACACGGTTGCTGATTTTACAGCATAGACGAGGACTTCCTGTTTACGGTCTGCTGCCTGCTCTCTCCAATTACCTGCCCGCATATACGGAGACTTCTCTTAGTAATCGCTTTCAGGGATGACCCTTAAGAGAGCGGGTATATTCTTATACACCCTAGCTTTATTCACTCTAGCACGATGGTTGGGACTAGGTTTTCAACCGTTTAACTGTGTGAAGCTCCATCAAATGGATAAGGTAGGCGAATTCTAGGTAGTTAGTAGTGTCACTATTGCTGTACATTGAAATCGCCTGCTAAGACTCTATCATATAGCAATTGGTGTCCCAATGTGCTAATTCCTGTTGAAAGTTCAGACTGTGATGTGAAAGACTTCTTAATAGATCTCCGTAGAGGTTTGAAGGTGGAATCTTTCGGGTTGGATTAATATCTGCCACATTGATCATACTCTGCGTTGCCTTGAAGCAACTTTGATTCATGACTAACGTTTTTGGGAGCAAATTGTGTGCTCAAAGCAGAATTTTAAATGAGCAATCTTAATTAGTAACACTTTTAGTAACCCAACCTTCAACAGTACGCATTGCCACTGCGTTTCTCATTGATCAGTTATACGAAACTCCTGCTTGAAGTGTGAACAATCATATTCCAGCTTTGACGGCCCGTAATTTAGAATTCACACCAAAGCATTTTGGTTGGAACTGGGATAACCATAATCGTACTGTTTTCGTGACCTGTATTAGAGACAGTTCTACCTCTGCTCCAATTTCCTCCATTGCTTATTTTGGGCATAGTCAGTGGCGACTAATTACTCCAGCTGAAAACGCACACGCGTTTGCAATCCTGGCAGCTTAATGGATGTTTATTAACTGATGATGAACGTCCATTACTGGTGTCATACTACTGAGAAATAAAGCAGCGACGTTATACACGAAACTCGTTGACCTGAATGCATTCATACCGCACATAGTGAACTGCAGTGGCACGAAAATACGGAGCCGTGAATGACACACGTCGTGTCCTTGCGGAAGGTGTCAAATGCGGACTGTGGTGGCTGTTTAGTCATGTGTCGTTAATACGAACATACACGAGCAATGGGCTAGGCGTGGCATAAGAATCCCGTTAAAAGGGCTTCAAATCTGAATAGCAAATTCAACGAGTTAATGGTAGCAAAGCACTTTCCGATAGGGACCCACTTCAAAAAGGGGGTCTCACCAGTCTCAGACGTTCCCAGGGCTTCGGCTAACAAATTATTAACTGTGGCAATGTGCTGTTCATAGCCAATATTTAAAGGCCTTCTGGTTCGACTGCACTGGCTGTTTATAACATACACTGTTGTGGTGCATAGCGAAATGTGTTGCAGTGAAGTTTGACGAAGTGTGTCCGTGCTGTTAGTTGACTCCACTGAACACAGCGGGGCTAACTCCTGGTGGGATGGACGAAGACGTGGACGTCTCCATTACAATTTAGTGTGAAATCTTGCTCCGTTTTGTTATGTCAGAATCGATTCTAGGCATTTAGAGGTTAGTCGAAATTGCCAAATCTACTCTACTGGGTTAAGGTGATTTAAATGAACAACATCTCGATCGTAAAAACCGTCGATACTTGAAGCATGGAAATTAATTATTTCAAAGCTGGTGTCACCTAGCGAAACAGTAAAATGGTCCCAGTATGGTCAATTTTACCTGAAAATTCACACAGGTAGAAATATATTTGCCTGACTTTTGGGCACCCTGATGGTCTTTTAAAAGGTACGAAGAAATTGGACTAGTAAGAATAGCGATGCGAGGAAAAATTAAATTACACAAAAATAGTAAGAAATTATGGTTTGAGGAGCTAACCGTCGTAATGGAGAAGCACACAACATGCAAATTCAACTGGGAACAAACCATCCGTACCTCTCACCTGCGCACAAGATGAGGATTTGTCAGGCCGGCCTGAGCCAAACTAAAGGTCACTTCATGGTCAACATCGATGAATGAGAACTCAAGGGCCACAAGTACAGGCGTCACGTGATGTTCACATGTGGGACCGTGGATGGGTACGGTAGTGGTAGTGGGATGTCACGCTTGTCACGACCTAAAGTAGTGAATTCACTGAATACCCGCTTTGTGTGAATAAGGCCTATACAGGACTAATTTACAATGATACACACACGAACTTCACTCACTCGGTTATTACTGTTGCCATGCCGTGAATGTTGCCCCAAGTGTAACACAAAACTAGGCTCAGCGGGTGCCGCCTGGATACGCATGTTTTGGTGAGTTTTCCTGCTTAACATGACTTGTTAGTAAATTGTGGCAATAATGCGAGAATTAATAACCCTTTGGCACTACAATAATATTCGCACTGACTCAAAGGAAGCTGAGTAAGGATGATTGGATTGTAAATGCAACCAACCACAATGAGTCTCGAACTGCAAGAAGTCAAAATTCGAGCTAGGTGGTTCAGGGGGGTTATTTCCAAATTAAGAATTCAATTGGAAAATAATCACTGTAGTTTAAAGTACAAAGCTCTTCATTTCCCACTGGAATAGACTCGGAAAGGGCGATCTCGCAGGATTTGAGCTCATTGGGTGAAAAATAGTGCCCATAGTAACTGACATTCTCGAATGTTCGTTTAGCACATGTAAGCAACCCAACCTCGCCTAAACAATAAACATCATCTAAACACTTGGCTTGGCTGGTTCTTTGACGCAAATGAGGAGGCCTGCTAACACCAAAGCACAAAGTGGAACTTAGACTTTAAGGTGGTCAAAGCACTTCATGCAGTCAGTGGTGCGATTATACTGATTGTTCAGGCGTCAAGGTAGAGCATTACAATCAGTTCCCCACGTCGGTGGCCTCCATAACCAGGTGGTGGAATTCCAGTCAACTGTTTCCACTTCCCCAGTCTAAAGAGAGATGCTTTAGAATAACACACGAAAGCAAGTACTGCATTCCCCGATTTTGGAACACCTCCGGGTTTCTGGTGGAAGAGACAATTAAATGCAGGCTAACACTTGAAGTATTTTCCCACACCTAATGAGGG